GAAGATTTATATCTTAATTTAAATTATAGTACGTGATTTATTATAATATTTTTTTATATAAAATATATACATAAATTAAAAATAATTTTAATTTATAAATTAAACGTCTACTAGATGACCGACCGTGAAGATTTTAAGCTAGAATGAAGGATCAGTATATCAGACACCGGTGGTGTTAAAATCACCACGTATGAAATGATGAGCAAGTAATGACACGTGATGAAAATGATATTTGTAGGCTGTACTGAACAGGACAACTCTCTCTCTCTCTCTCTCTCTCGATTCCTGAGTAGACCCTGGCTCCTTTTCATTCATGACTCTGGCAACTTCTCTCTTAAAAAAAAAAAAAAAAACAACCAAACAAACGTGGTTGTTCACATCATTCCAGGTGGGACACACACACCATTAATATTTCAACTTGCTACCGTTTATTTATAAAGCCAGGTCACTTGGGTAAGCCGAAGAGCAGACATGCAAGAAATTCCCGTATCAATTATCCAGAAAAAGGAAAGTAAAGGAAGAAATAGAGAAAAAGTTATTTTGCAGCAGTGGCCTTTTTCTGTAATGTTTTGCACCACATCTTACTTCTCCAAAGTTATTTTAAAGTTTTTTTTTTTTTTTTTTTCCCCCACGGGATATTCTGACATTCGTATTCTTATATATACTTATAGAATTGATATGGAAAGAATTTGTACTAGTATCGTGTGTTTTTGAGCATTATTTAGGTGTGTTTTGAGCATTAGATACATCTAAATCATATCAATTAACATAATAAAAAGATAGAAAGTATAAGAAACAGAGAAAAACATCTGACTAAACAAAATAATGTAATACTAGAATTTTCTTAATTCAATTTTTTATTAATAATAATGTCATTGAACATTGGGACTACATCTTTTTTTTTTCTTTTTCTTTTTCTTTTCATAAAAAATAGATTGTTAGTATTCTCACGCCTTTTTACTCAATGGCCATAGAAAGAATTAGATTTCATCAGTGCAATAATCAAGGGCCTAAATTTATCTTCCATCCATTCACAACTCAAGTTTCATCAATTTATCACTAGTTCTTTTATTCCTTATACCCACCATAGGTGAGTATTGTCAATTTTAAGGTTTTTTTATTTTTTATTTATCATTTAAGGATGCGGGGATTCAAGTTCTAAACCGTAAATAAGGAAAGACTTAAAAGGCAGATGTTCTAGCTACCATGCCACCACTAACCGGTGGCAGGCAGAGTACATCTTTCCTTGACGTGATAATAAGCATTTATAATAGTTTATAATGTCAGATATTCAATGAAAAACAATTGTAAAAATTAACATCCTCTTTATTTTATCGATTTAAATTTAAAATTTGAGTTTTATTACAGTAAAAAATTTTAAAAAACAGTTATATTTAATATTTTTATTATAGTAAAAACTTTTCACATAAAGTTATATCTCAATTCAAATTAAAAACTCGAATTAACGAATTAAACAGATTCTTACTTCTTTTACTCCTTAATTTATTAGCATGGCCAAAATCTGGCAGAAGGAAATATATATTCTGTCATTTTCTCTTTGTTTAATTGGCGATTTCAAAAGAAATTAAATGCCAAAAAGCTTGAATATAAATCAAACATAAAGAAAATTTTGATCGAGAAAGAAGGCTGCCCCACGAGAAGCGGTTAGATAGTTAATTATTAAAATAAAATAGGTGTTAGATAACTACGTTGACTTTTTTTATTAGAGAATTTATTGAATAAGTCATCCTCCTTCATTTAAATAAAGAGGTAAAGTGGTGAGGACAATATGCTAGAATGATTATCTAATAAAGTAAAATTAATAAAATGACTTTTTTTTATTTTTTATGAAGAAAGACACTTACTCATTCTTTGTAAAAATAGATCATTTTGTAAATTAAAATTTTTAAAAAGTTATTTTACTAATAAAACTTTTTAAAAGAGTTATTTTTACAAAGGCCTCAAGTGGCGAAGTGTTTTTTAAAGACAATAATTATAGGAAAAGATCTTACTTTAAGGGAATTTTAGCTGTATATAGCTACATTTTTTTTAATCTAAAGCAAGGATGCATGCTTGAGAACAAAGGCTAAAAGCCACACTCTTGAATTTTAAGGGTTTTTCGTTTGCCTTTAAACTCAAAAAAAGTTTAAATTTAAGTTACAATTTTATTTAAATTCATATTCTTTTATAAAATTTGAAGTTAAACTGGAATTTTAATTTGAGTTCAGAAAACTCAAAATCTGAGTTTAAGTTTTCCCTTCAACTCAAGTTTCTAAACTCAAACTCAAGTTAATGAACAATATTTTTTCTATTCTTAAAAACGTTATAACTTTTTCGTTTTAATTCCGATTGAGATGATTTTTTTATGCGTTCACAACGAAGAGACGAATAAAACTCCACCCATATACCCTATTAAAATTTTCCATCATCATTGAGTTTTTATTAAAATAATATCTAAATACAAATTTAAGTTTTGACTCACCCAAACACAAACTCAAAATGATTCTTATATCAAACCATAACTCAAATGTACACAACCAAACACAAACTCAAGTTACAACACCAACTCGTTATAACTCAAATTTAACTCAAGATCTATACTCAAGTCATCATAACTCAAAAATACAACTGAAATATCTCTTTCAAACATCAAATCACTTGCAAATAAGTTTCTTTATTTCTTAAGAAGATATCAATTTTTTCTCTAGAGAATTAGTGAACTCACCTTTTAAATATATCATTTTTAAATGTTTATTATTTATTTTTTATTAATATCATTTTAATTAATATAATTCTTTGAGTAAAAAATATTAATATTAAATATAGAAAGCGAAAATCTAAGACCCCTTCTTCTCTTTTTCTTGCTTTTTGTTTGGATAGTTAAATGTTGGGCCTTTATTGGATGCGCTATGATAAGTTGTATTGTTAATACTTAATGGTAAAGTATCACTACTTGGATTATTCAACATAAAGCAATATAATACAATACAATTTGGTAGAACATTCGTTGTACAGAAAATAAAAAAATAAAAAATTAAACAACATCCCAAAATGAATGTTAAATATGCAAGAGGGAGACTTATAGAGACCATTCTATAGTACCAATCCATTTTCTTTAGTCGTTATGAATCATAATATATTTTTGGAATTTTTAGATAAATCCAACTTCTCCAAATCTACTCTATTAATTTCTTAAGCTAGTCAAGACATTAATGTTATGAATAAATTGTTCAACTTACTCTTGAGTGTATGAATTTGAATTTTTATATTTCATTTTTAAGTAATATTTTTTTAATTAATTAAAAGTTGTTTGATTAAAAAAAAAATAATTAAAAGTACATGACAAAAATCTAAACTCATACCCTCTAAGAAATATATGTCTCATTTCTTCTAATTTTATTCTGGCCGTCGGTATAACATCTAACTCTAATTCACACAGATAAACCTTAAAGGAAAAGAAAAAAAAAAAAAAAACAAAGTTATTTATTTTGATCATTATCAGCTATCATGGCTTTTTCACCTTTCGCTTTCAGTGTTGATTTTTGGTAGGAACATCTCTCCTGGTTATTTGTATTTGGACCCTTTTCACTTGCGTACATAGTTA